TCTGTGGAAGTGCAATTATTAGACTCTCCGTAATCGTGTGTAAAATAATATGCAATCTCGACTCCCTGATTTTAAAAAAAAAATTTTTTTTTGGGAGAGAGAGAGAGGGGGGGGGAGAGGGAGAGAGAGGGAGAGAGAGAGGGAGAGAGAGGGGGGGATTCAATTTAATCGAGGATCTCTTTAAGTCCACTGGGCGTGTGTTGTACCCTAATCACCCCAGCTGGGCCCTGACAGATATAATTGAACAGCCCACCCCTTAACAATCTAAATCGTGTTGACGAAGACGTAAAACATTCATAAACAAGCCCCACTCGACAGATAATATAGACTTAAAGGAAATTTTCAAAAAAACCTCCCGGGAACAGCTGAGAATCTTTAGAAATGGACTACGCGAATAATTACGGTACGCGCCTAACAAGCTTAAAACCCAGAGGATGGGATTGGAAGTGCTGAAAAAAAGCATGCTATTTATTGTCTGTCAAGTCATAATATGAGCTCTAAGGGTACACTCGACTACAATGGAAGTATTTTTTAACCTACAACATCGAGACCGTTGAAAAAAAGTAGAAAAGGAGAAAATGTTTCTAGTCACGATGCGGTGGAATCAGGAGCTCGTCAATTTTTGAACATATGGCGTTATTTGTATAATCTTAAAGTTTATTCATTTGTCTTGGTCTCCACGAAAAAAAATACCCGAATATCTTTAACAGAAATCGAGATATTTGCGATCGAAGGAGGGGGGGGGGCACTTGGTTTCAGAGGAAAAGTTAGCGTGATAATGGCCGCCAAAGTTTGGTGATTTCCATAGCTTGAGAGTCCCTGGAAACTGAAAGTTTACATTTGTGTGCCTTTAATCAACGGTTGTTATTTATTTTGTCCTTCAGTAAAATCCATGTAGAAATGTGTTTTTAAATGGACATTAAAAATGTTGGCCAAAAACAAAAAAATCAACGAAAACTACCCAACGAGCGGGGAAATGACGATTTCTTCGCTGTCATACTTTTGACGAGCGCCTGAGATCACCACTACGCCTGACAGATAAAGTACAGTGTACATTACCGCCACTAGCTTAACGCTGGTGATAATCATGTGGAATGGTGTTACCTATAGGCTAACGCTGGTGATGATCATGTGGAATGGTGTTACCTAAAGGCTAACGCTGGTGATGTTAAATGTGTAAACAGATGCCCATGGCATACCGCTAAGAATGTTAATTGCTTATATTATATACTCTTGCCTATGGTCTTTTTTTAAAGTTTTAGTAAGAGTTTTACGGTGCTCGCAGGTGTATATTATTTACGGTTCTTTGTAGACTAAGATGTATAGTTTTGAGGCCAGCGCCATTGATTAGTTGGGCATCCGTCCTAACGCTGACAACGTTGTGTACACACTGGGGGAAAGAGGGCCATATAAATCTGTTACCACCATCATTATCATCATTCTTATCAACGCCAATATTTTATTTATTTATCATTATTATCAGTATAATTATTATCCTCATCACCGTCACTATTGTTGTTATTATTATTATTATTATTATTATTAG